CCCCCCAGATGTTTGCGATGAGAGAAACTACCCAAAAGAGACAAGATCAGAACATCTGGTGACTTTGACCTGTACTGGTCACCGAGGCTGTGGGCTGCTGCCTCCAGAACGCATAGTAGGCACTCAAGAAATGGCAGTCCCTCCCTTCCCTGGAGGGGAGAGGTTTGGCTGATGGGTAACCTGTGTTTTCTGGTGATTCCAAGGACAACTTGGGTGACTCCAGACTGGAATGTCCTTAAACATGAGGCAGAGGAAACGTGTTGTCTAGCTGTGGTCTCATAGTGAAAATCACTGATAGGAGCTCAGTGTCTGGGGCCACATTCCCTGGAGCAGCCTCAGGACACACAGCAGGTGAGGGTCAAAAACTGGTGCCTTGTGACCAGCCAGAGGCCTCCCATGAGCAGAGATGAGGGGGGTCCAGCTGGTCAGCATCTGCTCACCTGGGCCTCAAAGTCATTGTGTTGCTCCAGAGATAAGCAAGACTCTCTATTTGTGATCTCATTGTCAGCTTGGGGATGTTTGCTTGTTTTTGTTTTTAAAGCTCTTGATTGGTAGAAGGGCCTCTGAGCAACTAAATGGATCAGTAGTGTGGGTACTGAAATGTTTCCTTGGGTCTATATTATCCTCTTGGTGCTTGTAGACATATTGTTTGTCACCGTAATGTCCCTGTAATAAGAGCTTCAGCCTCAGAGCACGTGGGCTCATGGCTTCTATGAGATGAGGGTGGTTGAGCGGAGCTCCGTGGGGCAGGGGGGCATTTCCCCCTTTTCCACATGTTGCAGCCGGTCAGCCTGATGGTTTTCGTGACCACTGATGGTCTTCCACATTCACAAAGGCCTTTGTGGCATTTGAAAGACACAGAGATCCTGTTTCCAGGGATGAGGACATGTACATCAGTGTGGTTCTGAGGGGATCTGTGGTCTGGTTATAGTACGTCACCCTGCGGCTGTTCTGGGCCCCACGGGCAGGTCTGGCTAACCACCTCAGGAGCCTGGGGTACTGCATCCTTGACCTGGGGCAGAAAACTGAGCCTGTGGGATCCAGAAGAAAAATGTGAGCTGAAAAAGCAACCCAAGCAAGCTGTTGGTCTGCAGGGGGATAGGCCAGGAGGAGAATCCCCGTAGGAGGACCGGGGTGGGCTGGACAGCTGAACCAGACGTGGTGGTTTCACAAGGAGCCAGAAGGAATTTCCTCAAGCTGAACCTGCAGCCCCTTGGGCTTCTTCCAGGGCCGTCTGCAGCCTTGGTCAAGAGCAGGGAGGGGGCACTTGGAAGCCTCAACCAAAGTTAGCCACTGGGAACGTCTGCTCTTCTCCCCTACGTCCTCCTTGAGGAAGGTAAAGGGTAACCTCCCCACACTGCACACGGGGGGAAAAAAGTCCAAACAAACAAAAAAACCAGGAAAAAGTAAAAAACCACAAACGCCACACACAAGGTAGGAAAAGGTCAAATAACTTCCCCAGGACAGACAGATTTGCTAAAATTGCCTGAAAAGAGTTTGGTGAGCTAAACATAGCACAGTATCACCAACTGGGGAATGATCTTTATCGCATAATCCGTTGCACGTTAGGGAATGGAAATCTCACATTGACTAGTCCGATTCCAAAATCTGAATAAGGTTCAAATTGGCAAGCCTCCGCTACAATTGGTAAAAGAGAAGATGGTTTTCTTGCCCAGCGCCAAGCCCCAGCCTCAGAGCCATCCTGGGTCTTGCTTGCCCTTCCTGTCTGCCAGCATAGCCCCACCCCCGAGCCCGTGTGCACCCGGATGTTCCACTTGTCATCCAAACACGGCTGTGCTCAGACCCATCCATACTTCCCCTCTACCCTGGGAGTGTTCCGGTTGACGGTTCCAGATCAAAGTCCCAGGGATGCAGAGAGGAGAGGGCCTTGCGTGGGCTGGGTGAGTCGGGGAGGTGGTTGTAACGGCTGTGGCTATCCTTGACCAGATAGAGTGAAGGAGGCTTCTGGATAAGGCTGCCTCAGGCCGGAGCTGTGGGGCACACTTTCTCCCGTGGACACGCTTAATCCAGCCAGTCCCTAAATTACATTATTCCCTTTCTTCTTGGGATAGTAATGCTGTAATATTTCCACAATAATGATGGTATAACGTCTGTAATTACAGCATGATTTTGAATCTGATTTCTTTACCTAATGGGTAATCACATCAGAACACAAGAAAATGCTGAATTTGTTTTAATGAGCCTAGTGTGAAATACTCAGCTCTATCTACAAAGGAAATCCCAGTTAAACTGCCTAGGGGTAGTGATTTTTAAGCCTCCTTCCCTGTACCTGAGAGGCGGTGTGTTGGATGGACACAGGACCCCTCATTTACATTTTGATGATGAGGAAATGAGGACTCCAAAGTGAGGAAGTGGTGGGTTTTGGATTTTCCATCAGTTCTTTTGGGTTGCAAATTCAGTGTCTTCAACCACAATATTATATTGCTTCTAAATTACTTAATATGAGATAACCCTAGAGGACCAAGGGTCACTAAAAAACATGGAAAGCATAAGGGAAAAATAAGTCCTCCACACTCCCTCCCCGCACCTGGCTGACTACTCCTGGATCTAAGACCTCTAAGGGCCTCTCCATCAGGCAGCACAAGGAGCAGTAGGTGCCTGCCACCTCCTGAGGGCCCAGCAGAAGGCAGAACCTGGTCACAGCCGGAAGGAGAGTTTGTGGCCCTGAGCACGTGGGGGTCATGGCCCTGATCACGTGGTGCCACAGATCCATCTCTTGAGGTCACAGCTCTGATCACATGGGCTCTGGTCATGTGAGGTCACGGTCCTGACCATGGTCCTGACCCATCAGGTGGGGTCAGAGGGCCACAGCCCTGAGAAAGGGGCATTAAAATCTCTCCCATCCTTTAATATATAACAACCCCGTTCAGACTGTGGTCAGAGCAATAATTTCCCTTTGTCGTCTCCTTCCTCCCCCCTTCCCTTTTTCCTTCCATAGTTTTTAACAGGAAGAATGGCAATCAGTTTGCAAACCCCACAAATTGACTATTCCATCCATCTAACTCACTATCTACACCTATGACATGCTATCTTGGCGTCATGCCCTGCACGTGGGATAACAGCCCTGAGTACGTGGGGCCAATACCACGTGAAATTGGGTCTCCACATAGGACAGGGGTCAAGGCTACAAAGGCGTTCAGTCCAGACCCCAGTGAAGTTGGGTCTCCTGGGGAAGAACACGGGGTTAAGCCCTGAGGACTATAGGGGTGACTGCTCTGCACAAGGAGGTGGTCATAGCCCATAGGATGTGGGGTCAGGGGCTCAGCACATGGGCTGCACGCCCTGATCACGGGGTCATGGCTCCAGCATGCGGGGTCACAACACTTTCTCCTGAGGCCCTGTTCCAACCTCTTGTGGTCACAGTCATGGTTATGTGGGGCACAGTTCCCATTACTTGGGGTCATTGGTCTGATCATGTGGTGTCACCATCTTGATCACATGAGGTCACGGCACTGTTCACCTGTGGTCACGGCTCCCAGTCACATTTAGGAGCTAGAGGCGGGAGTCACTGCAGGAGGAGAGGTCCGCTTCCGAACTACGAACTACGCTTCCCAGGAGGCTGCTCGCTGTACCGTGAAGCACTTCCGGCAGAATCCCCTCCTCTTTCTGACTCCCCTGTTGGCCCAGAGGTCCTTCTTCAACGTGCTGTCTCCCCCGCCTCGCCTTCAAGTCAGCCCAGGCTCTGAGATGGGCCCCGCGGCATTGCTCCGGGTTTCGGCGGACCACTGTGAGTCGGCCGGCCAGGCGGGGTTCTGCCTGGCGAAGGGACCGGGCGAGAGGAGGGTGACCGCCTACCTTCTCCCGCTCTCGGACCTCAGGCACCCGGCTGGTGTCAGCATTATCCGATGCCGAGGCTGTCCCTCAGGAAGTGCAGTAGCTTCGGGCTGCGTACTGTGGGCGGTGCCCAGGACACCTGCTCTGTAGCTGGACGGGGTTTCCTTCCTCTGGAGTCCCGCACACTGTCCATGGTGCTAAAAGTCTCTGCCCCAAATCTCCCAGCCTGCCCCCCGCTGCGGGGTGGGAGACCATCTGCGATCTCCGCTCTTGCAGCCACTGGCCACAAGCGAATGTGGACCACTTGTTGTGGCGAGTGCTACTGAGGAAGTACATTTTTAAATTTACTTTCCATTAATTTGTAACGAAATACTGAAGAAGTAAAAAATATTTTCCCATCAAACACATATTTACTTATTTAATTAAAAAATTTTAATTCCAGTATAGTTAACAGTGTTATATTAGTTTCAGGTGTACAATATAGTGATTCAGCACTTCCATACATCACCCAGTGCTCATCAGGACAAGTGCACCCCTTAATCCCTATCACCCATTCCCCACCTACCTCCCCTCTGATAACCATCAGGTTGTTTTCTATAGTTGAATCTGTTTCTTGGTTTGTCTGTCTATTTTTTCCCCATTGCTCATTTGTTTTGTTTCTTAAATTCCACATATGAGTCAAATCATATTATATTTGTCGTTCTCTAACTGATGTATTTTGCCTAGCATTGTACTCTCTAGCTCCATCCATGGCATTGCAAATGGCATGATTTCTTTCTTTCTTTCTTTTTTTTTTTCTTAATGGCTGAATCACATTCCATTGTCTATATACACCACATCTTTTTTATCCATTCATCTATAGATGGACACTTGGGCTGCTTCCATAATTTGGCTATTGTAAATAATGTTGTTATAAACATAAGGGCACATGTATGCCTTTGAATTAGCGTTTTTGTATTTTTTGGGTAAATACCTAGTAGTGTGATTACTGGATCATAGAGTAGTTTCTATTTTTAACTTTTTGAGGAAGCTTCATGCTATTTCCCACAGTGGCTGCACCAATTTGCATTCCTACCAGCAGTGCGGGAGGGTTCCTTTTTCTCCATATCCTTGCCAACACTTGTTTCTTGTGTTTTTGATTTTAGCTGTTCTGACGGGTGTGAGGTGATATCTCACTGTAATTTTGATTTGAATTTCCCTGATTATAAGTGATGTTGAAAATCTTTTCATGTTCCTGTTGGCCATCCAGGGGTCTTTTTTTAAAAAAAAAAATTTACTTCTCAATTTTTTGAGAGAGGAAATATAGCTTAAAATGCAAAAAAAAAAAATTATTTCTAAGATTATATATATTTTTAAAGCTTATTTATTTTTTTTGAGGAGAGAGTGTAGAGGGGAGGGGCAGAGAGAGGAGATTAAGGAGAAGAGAAGAGAGATGCAGCAGGCTCCTAAGCTCTCAGGGAGGAGGAGACCAACATGTGTAGGTCTCAAACTAACCCCCCAGCCCAGATCTAAAGAGTTACGCTCACAATGAGCCAATAATGGGGCCTTTACCTGGAGGTCTTCTTTGGAGAAATGTCTATTCATGTCTACCTGCCCCACCAGGATTTTATTTATTTATTTATTTTTTTTTTGGTGAGATTCAACTTCCCTTTATTTGAAAATTTAAAGGTCAGTATTATTAGGATCATACTGTATCAAATAGGCCACCTAATTTAGAAGAGATGGTTGGAAAAAGGAATATAAACTACTGATAAACTGTGTGTGGTTTACATGTGTCTTGTATGTCACCCAAATGAAATTTTACTTTTAGTCTTTTAAAGTTTATTTATTTATTTTGAGACAGAGAGAGCACAAGTGAGGGAGGGAGCTAAACTGCTTGATCCGCATGAGGGGGCCCTGAACTACTTGACCAAGGAGTCAGACATAACTGAATACCCAGATTATGATTCTAATAGTTTGACATTTACAGGAAAGCCAAAAAATTTATTTTTTAATTAAGCATCAGCCTAATATTTTATTTATTTTTGATAGAGACAGACAGAGCACAAGTGGGGGAGGGGCAGAGAGAGAAGGAAACACAGAATCTGAAGCAGGCTCCAGGCTCCAAGCTGTCAGCACAAAGCCTGAACTCACAAACTGTGAGATCATGACCAGAGCTGAAGCCGGAAGCTCAACCGACTGAGCCACCCAGGCATCCCACATTTGCAATTTTAATAGATACTGAGTTGCTCTGTAGATAGTAGTTTGCTCCTACCAATTATTAAAGGGGGATTGTTTACTCACTGACTTGAGATGCCATATTTGCCATATATTATAATTAGATCATTTTCCCTTCTACATATCCACCTATCCATCCATCCATCCATTCATCAATCCATCTATCTATCCATCATCCATACATCCTTTTGTTCTTCTTCCTTTACAATCTGTTTTGTAGATATGGTCAACCTGTGATTGACTTGTAGCATGAGTAAGGGGGAATCCTTAGTTGCTTTTAGCTACTTAGATCTTGGGATATCATTTGTTACTACATCATAACCTAGCGTATTTTGCTTAATAATGATCCTTTTCTCCGTGTCACTCTGAAAAAGTCTAGCTTCTTCAGTGTGAATTCTAGATGTCTGGTTACTTTGCTTTTTCATTCAGTTGTTGGTTGCGTAGGCATTTATTGAGGCAGTGGTTAAATGAAACTGCTCTGAAACCCAAGACTTGGATTCTAGGCTTGGCTCTGCCACTTGGGAATGACATGATCTTTTTATGTTTATTTATTTTTGAGAGAGAGAGATAGAGAGTGCGAGCAGGGGAGGGGCAGAGAGATAGAGACACACACACAGATCTGAAGCAGGCTCCAGGCTCCGAGCAGTCAGCACAGAGCACAATACAGGGCTCGAACTCAAAAACGGTGAGATCGTGACCTGAGCCGAAGTCCGATGCTCAACCAACTGAGCCACCCAAGTGGCCCAGGAATATGATCTTATGAGCCAGTTCTCAGTTCTCTCTTTTGTGAGATGGAGGTAATAGCAGCTCTGACATCATGGCTTTGTTGTGAAGATTAATGAAACAGTAGGCTTAGCACAGTGCCTGCCTGGCATGTACTACCTGCTCAATCAATGCTCGCTACACTACTGGTAGTTCTGGAAAGAGAAGAGCTGTGTAGGTTGTGTTACAGTAACAATGACCCTCAAATCTCAACAGTAATCTAACAACAGCAATCTAACCCTAATCTTAATTAACTCTCAGTGGGTTAGCTTGGCTGTAGTACTTATAACATGGAGAAGATGAAGAGGTGAAACCACATAGTGGCTCTTAAAGTTGTTGTTTAGAAGAAAGACATGCCAGTTCCACTCACATTTCACTGGGAGGCAAGTCACATGGCTACCTTCAATAACCTGATTTCTGATAGGAAGGCCATGTACCAGGCCTTAGAGAAAATTAGGGTGTGAATCAGCAAGTCCTTTGCAGCAGCTCTGGGGTGTTGGAAGATAAGCTGAAGTCCAAGTTGGAACGGGCCCATAGGGGCTACAAGCTGATTGGAGTTGAGAGGCTCCAACCCAACAACAAATGACCAGCTGTTAAATTGAAAGGTGTGTTGTGTTGGCAGTGAAATTTGGAATCAAAGAAATATGAAAGCAGACCTGGAGACAGGTTGCTCCCTTTTCTGACTATTGCCCCTGACCTGAATGCCAAAAATCAAATTGCTTCAGTAATGGCAAAGACCTTGAGGAAAGCAGATCAGAATCCAGAGCAAATAACTTTGGATGTAACAAACAAGAGCAGTCTAAGACAGGGCTTGGCAGACTTTTTCTATAAAGGGTCAGATGGTAAATGTTTTATTTAGCCTTTGTGAGCCACATGGTTTTTGTTGAAATCACTCAACTCTGCCATTGTGTGAAAGCAGCCGATAGGTAAACAAATGGATATTTCTGTGTTCCAATAAAACTTTATTTATGGACATTGAAATATGAATTTCTTTATTTTTTAAAAATGTTTATTTATTTATTTTTGAGAGAGAGAATCAGAGAGACAGCGTGCGTGCACACGTGTGTGGGCATGAGTGGGGGAGGGGCAGAGAGAAAGGGAGAGAGAGAAACCCACGCAGGCTCCACACTGTCAGTGCAGAGCCTGCCATGGGCTCGATCTCATGAACTGTGAGATCATGAACTGAGCCGAAATCAAGAGCCAGATGCTCAACCGACCAAGCCACCCAGGCACCCCTGAGAAGTCTGTTTTAATAAGGGTTCACAAATGTTCATTCTAGACCTAGCCTCAGCAACCCCCCCTTTTCCTCTATAGTCTGAGTTGCCTTCATTCCTTCTCTAATCTTCATTATCCCTAATGCCAGTATGAGCCCTGCCTCTGTGCTGCCTTCCTTGCTTTTACTTGTCTTCTATTCTTTCTTTGAATTTCATCCATTATGAGTTGTCAAATTCATATTCCTGAACTCTTTTTTGATATGTTTTATTGTTGATTCAAAAATAGTTTTTTCCAATGAAATTGTAAGTGTTCCAGGGCAAGGAGTGTGTTTTGTGGATTAGTTGTGCCTCTCATATGTTTTAATACCAAGCCAAGTATAGAGTAATGCTCAACCCTGAAAACCCTCAGATCCATTTCTTATGTAGCTAGATTCTTCAGGACCACCAGTTTCGTTCTCCTTGTGAATATTGATGGTGATGTGATGAATGTGAATTTATAGGTTGATTTAGGGGACCAGTGAAATTCGAGGATGTGGCTGTGATTTTCACTGAGGCAGAGTGGAAGAAACTGACCTGGAGCAGAGGAACCTGTATAAAGAAGTGATGCTGGAGAATTTCAGGAATCTAGTTGGGTGACAACCTATTCTCTTCCATCCTTTTTCCATTCATATATTTATTTACCATTTACACTGTGCCAACCAATGTTCTAAGAACACATCACTGAATAAAGTAATAAGGCATTTCTTTTGTCACGATGCCTACATTCTAGTGTAGGAGACTAACAAATATAATAAATGGTATATACAGGTAAATTATAAGCTAGGTAAAATATAAGCTCTACATGGCTAATAAAATGTATAAGATGTATAAATTAAGTACAGCAGAATAATAAGGGGGATCCAGAGTGCCAGGGTGTGGAGGCAGCTGGGTGAATTATTAAATTGGGTGATCAGGATAGTCTTCTATGAGGGGATATGTTTGAACAGAGGCTTGAAGGAGGTAAAAAAGTTAGATATGTGAATGTGATGGAAAACTGTTCCAGGTAGGGGAGCACCCAGTGCTAAAACCCCAAGAAAGGAGCATGCCTTGCTGTTTTAAGGAAAAGCAAGGAGGCCAGTGTGATTGGAGCACAGAGAGCCAGGAGGAAAGGACAGTGGTTAAGAGATGACGTCCGTGTCCTAGAAGTTCAAGTTTAAAGTGTAACTGAATCCATCAGTTTTGTGTTTCATAAATTATTTGAGTATCATAAATCATATTTTTGCTCATTTACTTAAAACCTAAAACATTATTTGTTTAGGTTGGCAAGTACAAAATTATCCGGGATATTCCTGAGTTCTTAAGAGTTACATTTTCAGAGTTGCATACACATTTCTGTCAGGAGATTTTTCAGGATTTTTCTTCATTTGACATAGCTAAGAATTTGGTAGTTCTTGTCTGTTTTATTTTTCAATGGCTTGGATCTGTTTTGAGCTCTTTTCATCTAATCTGAATTGGCCCCATTTTACTCCATTTGGCTTTTGACCTGGTTTCTCTGTCTCTTTCAATGTAGATTCATCCATTTAATTTTGCTTTCAACTGCCAATATGATTTGGTCTTGTTTTTATCTTGTTTCACCAGGTCTTCTTAGTCTCTATGCTGATACATTTTGTTGATTCTGAGGACTCTGTTAACATTGTCTTAAAATAGCCTGATTCAATTTAATCTTTGCACTGAAACATTTAAGGCTTTAAACTATTTTGCTACCCTTGATTCATCCTTTCCTTTCTCTCCATATCTTTTTTCCTCTCATTGCTGAATTTTTTAAAGCAAATTGCACATAATGTGATGTACCACTCCTAAATATATCAGTGTACCTCTAATAAATAAAGACATTTTGATTTACAAAACCACAGTATCATTATCACATGCCACAAAATTATCAGTAACACCTTCCATATCATCTAATACCTAGCCCATGTTCAGATTTACCTGAGCATCTCGAAAAAGTCTTTTTGCAGATTTGAATCAGGATCCAGACAAGATCCACCCATTTAATTTTTTTTTTTCCTAATGTCTCTTAAATCTGTATCAATTCTTCCTCCCTATCCTGGTTTTTCCCCACAGGCCCTGGATCTGTATGTAATGCTCTTAATCTAGAATATAAATCTGTTTTAGATAATATCAAAAAGTAATTTTTTCATGCATTATAAATCGAGGGAAAATACTTTCCAGATTTACCAAGAGGTGTTCACCAATATGAAAAAAATCCCATCACCAATGACAGTGCTGACTGTAGTGTTTAAGTCACCATCTATTCAGCACACCTGTGTCTATCACCAATAAAATATGCACATGCTTATCATCATTAAGGCACATTTGTGTCTTTCTGCGTTTGTACCTGTCATGTCCACAATGATCTGTCTATAGCTATAAGCATGTGATTGCTTTGTTATGTCCCTTAATGTAGTCCTGACAAGAAATTAATATTGAAATGCCTGAAGTTTTATTGTAAATTACTTTTTAAAATCCTCTTTTACATTTTGGATACAGCATTACATTCTTTTAAAAATGTTCTTTGTATAGGTATATTTCATTAAATATAAATTTCATTTCAAGATAGTAAATGAGATGTTAGAATACATAGACTATCGAAAGGAGGCTTTGGGGGCACCTGGTTGGCTCAGTCAGTGGAGCGTGCAACTCTTGATCTCGGGGTTATGAGTTTAAGCCCCATGTTGGGTGTTAAAGAATTACTTAAAAATAAAATCTTTATGGGCACCTGCGTGTCTCAGCCAGTTGAGCATCCGTCTCTTGGTTTAGGCTCGGGTCATGATACCAGGATTATGGGATCAAGCACCAAGTGGGGCTCTGTGCTGAGCATGAAGCCTGCTTAAGATATTCTCTCTCTCTCTCTCTCTCTCCCTCCCCCCCTTCTTCCCTCTCCCCTGCTTACTCTCTGTCTCTCTCTTAAATAAAATAAAATAAAATAAAATAAAATAAAATAAAATAAAATCTTTTTTTAAAGAATTCATTTTATG